CTCTCTCTCTCTCTCTCTCTCTCTCTCTCTCTCTCTCTCTCTCTCTCTCTCTTTCTCTCTCTATTTATCTATCTATCTATCTCTCTGTGTGTGTCTTTCTTTCCGCCTTTCCAGATATCAAGAATGTCGAAAGTCGGAGACAAACGAAAGGCAGGAGAAGAGATAGAGTACGAACGATCTCCAGATCTAAATGCACCGTGGGAGGGCAAAGATGAAACACAGACTTTAATCGATGAGAGCTGGGCTAAGATAGTTGAAAAGCAGTAAGAAGTTATAGATAAACTGACAGCTGAAGTAATCGAGCAGAAACAGTTGCTCACCCAAGCGCGAGACGAGATAGCCCGTATGGAACTTCCACTCACGGAAATGATAGAAACTGCGGAACATAGATTGTATAGCATATTCTGGTTATTGCTGCCCGATCCGAAGTCTCTTGTGACGGATCCGAGGGAGATTGTATAGCATATTCTGGGGAGGTTATCGGTGGACCGTCAAATAGTGGTCCCATTAATATGGTCAGTGAGGAAAGCGAGGAGGTTGAACCCCCTCCCGATGTAGAAGCAGACTGCGCATCCGAAGAACAGCAAGAACAACACACAGAGGCATTCGACAACTCCCACAAACTTGCGGCATTGATTTTCTCATGTAGGGGCGGTGTGTGCATGTCCCAAACTGACGTTGACTGTCTGTTGTCACTCCTCAAGAATCCTAGATTCTACCCAAGAAATATCGCATTTCGTAATAGTCGTGAGTGTCTAACATGGGCAAGCCGCCAGGCTGAGGCTGCAGGGTGGCAAGAGAACAATCTACGCAGTGATGATTGACCAGAAGAAGCGCATGCCATTTTGTGGTACCGCGACTGGTGTACAATGTTCGCTGACCTCGTATATGCTGCACTGCACAACGTTGAAACGATTTCTTGCCTCGAAATACAACCTCCCGGGGAGGGGATCAACATATGTGGCTCTCGCATGGGCCAGTTGAGTCACCATGTCCAAACTGTTATCAGAGTGGACAAGGGTGTGGACACGAATGGTAAAACACGTTATGTCATCCCTCTGTCTCTGTATTCAGACAAGACTCATGTAGACGGTCGTCAAAAGAAGACAACGTATCCTTTGATGATGTCAATAGCCGATCGCGCATCGCACGCCACACTCCTTGCGTATCTTCCTGTGCTTCAACACCGGCCACGTGACAAGGGCTGGGGTCTGCACTCCATCGCGTTTAGAAAACGAAAAGTTGTGATATTGCATAAAGCGTTGTCAATAGTATTGCGGTCTGCAAAGGATGCATCCCATGACGGCATGATAGTTACAATGAAGCGGTTCAGCGAAATAACAGTCCACCCTTTCATCATGAACTATATACAGGACTATCATGAAAAGTGTGCCCTTGCAACTGTGAAATTCGGTGTTTGTCCAACATGCACAGTGTCCAAGGACGATTTCGATGTCATCGCTAATTTCCCCAACTACAGGAGAGCGCAGACGCTAGAGACGCAACTTGCTGCGAACTGCTTCAACAATGGGGACAATGATATTCGTCGTGCCGCAGAGGCACGAATGTCAGAATTGAACATGTATAAGCATGTTCAAGAGAACGGCCTTTGGGGATTCTACAGGGCTCTGCATGGTGATGATCCTCAACTAGATTACCATCTCGCTTTGCAACCGGACCGTATGCAGACCATTGAACACGACATTTTCTTGCATATGATAGATGCATTCAAGGCAGCAGCTTATAAGAAGTTGTCGGATATCGCGTAAACCGAGATATTGCACGAGATGGATGCGAGGTTGCAGAGTAACAGTGAAAGATGTGTGAGGACATGCCCGCAACTCGTGTTGCTCGTGGCCACAAGTTGTGATTTCTTCTCAAGGGAAGGACGATTTGAAGCGAAGCAAAATTGGTTTGTTATGACAGTCTGCATGTTTATTATTTGTGATATCATCCCACATGCGACAGACAAATCCATTTCCGCTTGTTTCATCAAACTCATGGAAATGTACATACACGTGTTCGTAAGTCGACTCACACTGCGACTTCTCTTGATGTATGTGACGCATTGATAGGTGATTTCATAACGAGTATAAAAACGAAGATGAGAAAATATTAAACCTCGGATTGAAAAATTCCGAAGTTGCACGACCTTATGCATCTGAGAACATGCATAGAGCGATCTGGTGTCCCGGACACCTTCGCAGCTGATGTGTGGGAGCATCATCATCGGAGGTTCTGCAAACAGCCATATCTGGCATCGAACAAGCGCAAGGCTGCTTCCCAGATGGTGAATCATGTCCGACGCTCATTGACTTTGCAGGATGAGATGGAGATTGTGAGAAAACGAAGAAAGAGATCGACAGAAAATTGGTCATCCGTGACAGACTGCATGGCCACCGGAATCAATACCGTTGCAGAGCGCGACAGAGCAACTCTACAACTCCGGCGGTTCCAAATGGACGGTGTGCATTTGCCGGAGGTGGAGGGTATAAGCAACGCGGCATTGAGAATACTTAATGAGCTTCCCTGCAGAGAGGATTTTCGAGCTGCACTCACGACGTTCATGACAGAGAACGACTGTCAACCTCCATCTATTGACCAACTGATACACACTCGAACACACTTGACTATCGCCTGCACATACGACGAGACGCACAGGGGCGCAGGCATTCAAACGGCAAGAGCTTCACCACAGTTCCATGGGAGAGCCGTGCACAACGATGTAGTAGTGAGAGGTGGGAATGACAATATATGGTATGCATCAGTAGCCATGTTTTACGTCATGAACACTTGCATAGGGGGTGTTGCGGAGATGCACAGGTGTTGTTTTGTGCAATAGTACAAAGAGGTGGATAGCGAAAGGGAACACACAACAGGTTGTAAGAAGTTGCAATGGGAGAAGGTAAACGGTCATCAGCACAGTAGCGTCATAACGATTGAAACCATCATCGAGACCGTTCACATTGTTCCTCGTTTTTGTAAACCACAGTGGGGCTGGAAGAAGCATGCAAAAGAGAGGGAGGACAGTTTCTTGTTGAATAGATATATACTCTAGAAGTGTACAGGGAATTACACCAAAACAAAAACTAAAATTTCAAAGGCTGAACGTTTTTCCGAGAAAACTTTGTGGTGGGCGCAGTCGCAATCTTATACTACAGCATACGTTCAACTTTTGTATTTCTTTTACACAAAGAGAGAGAGAGAGAGAGAAACGTTTGAACGACAATAGTTATTTTGTAAAGATGGAGTTCAAACATCGGTAGATTTTTCAAGCGGCGATACTGTATTTCAGACCGGCACGATCGTGCAAGATGGAATAACACGGTTATGAGACTGTTTTTTTCGCACTGACAAGGTTGTGTTACACCGTTGCATAGTATCTATGTCATCTTACACAGCAATGTAGAGAAAGGTGCATCTAAGCAGTGTGTATGGCGAAGGTAACTTCAGAGTTGACTACAGTGTGCACATGTATGGTGAACGTGGACTTAAGAAGTGGCAGGTGGCACACTAGCCAACCTATGTCTATACTTGCGTGCGATAAAAGGTCATGACGTCACAGGATACCGTCATTCTGCCTCACAGTACTCTCTCTCTCTCTCGCTCTCTCTCTCTCTCTCTCTCTCTCTCTCTCTCTCTCTCTCTCTCACATATTGTCGAAAGATTTACCACTAAAGCCGAGTAATTGACAAGATGTGCTTCATGGCCATGTGACTGCCATGTGGACAGGAAATGTTGAGGTCGAGGTAACGCCAGAACGACACTCTGCACTGGAAGAAGTGGCAAGACAACAAGCGAAAAAATAAGCGTTTTCATGAATTGTGGAGAAGCCGATTTAGACTTACACTGCAACCTTTGTCCATCAGCCGTGACATCTGTTGTATGACGGAGAATGAGGGGTGTTCAGATGAGCGAATCTTACAAAATCAATGAGGGGGTAGATGGCAAGGGTTTTATCATGGGCTCAAAAGCAACGGACAGTTCAGAAACAGCAAGGAATGACAAACAGTCATGTGGACCAAGTGTCACCAAACTGTTGCTCCCATTGAGTAGTGAGAGATCAGTGAAGCGATGAAAGAGGATACTGGAGGACCCGTGGTATGCAAAAATGTACCAGATGATGACCACAGATGACGTCCAATATCCTCAGATGGTGCATGAACCTTTGTTCAGTATTGCAGGGGGCAATCGGTCGAGAGGTATGGCTGCAGAGGCTGGAAAGAGGCCCGAGACGGTGGACGAAGAACACTTGTTCCCGTTCGCGTGGAAATCAAGAAGACACGCCATAGCGATAACGAAACGGGACGTATTGCGATTGGGTGCGAAGCAGTGGCTGAACGACGCCGTAATCGATATGTACTTACAGTCCGTCTATGAAGAATATTTCCCTGCACAGGAAAACACGACACTTCATGTTTGCGCAACTTTCTGGCATCCCGCAGTTATCGCCAATCAAAAGGTTTATGTCGCGAAAGCAGGATGGCAGGAGCGGATCAAGAGTAGACCTGCAAAACTACGTCGAATAAGCAATAAACTGTGAACGACAGTTGTTGTTCTCATCCCTGTGAATCACAAAAAACATTGAAAATTGCTCTTGTTACTGAATGTCGGTCGGTTATTGGCAGTCACGGAGGACAATGATGGTCAGAAACGACCTGTTGTGATCGTCATGAATTCCTTTCAACAGAGCTGCCGACAGGAATGGAAGACGTTGCGCACATTTTTGTGGTATGAATACCTCAACGAGGCAGACAAAGAAGGGGTGTTGACTCCCGAGAACGTGGACACGTCGTGGGTGACATGCAGAGATCTACTCGGATCTAACATAGTATATGCAGAATGTTCGCAACAGACCAATACGTCGGATTGTGGTGTTTACGTTTTTTGCGTGGCAGCTGAATTGATGCGAAACTAGCAAACATGACTAAGGGAACGAACATAACCGCAAAATATATAACAGAAGTTGTTAGCGCGATGGAGGTCAACGAACGAACGGTCGAGAGATTTCGTCAGTCAATGGTACAACGCTTTGCGCAGTGTGCTGCAACGGCAAAAGGATATAACACTGCAGCAACGTGTGACATAGAAAATGTCTTCAGAGATCTCATAGACGGAACACGGAGTGAAGTTCGTAATTACAAGGACATGATAGAAACCCAGCATTGAAACACGAAGTTGACAACCGCATGCAATTATAAAAAACTCACATGTTGTAGAGAACCCAATCGGCACACAGTAGCCAACTTGTGCATGTTACTTGATGGATGAATGCGTGATGTATCATAGAAAAAAAATGTCATCTTTCATGTCACAACGACAAAAAACGTTTGACTCTCTCTCTCTCTCTCTCTCTCTCTCTCTCTCTCTCTCTCTCTCTCCCCCTGCGTGTGAAAATCTCGCCTACGATGGCGGATGACAAATGGTCGTTCCATGTGCCAAAATCATTCCATGTCTAACGTGAGTGTTTGTGAATTCATGCATGCCATAAGTTTTTCATAAGGTTGAAGAGAATGGCTCCGAAGCCAAGGTACAAGGATCTGTGCAAGTCCTTGAAGTACACAGGGAGGAGAGAGAAGGGGGAGAGGACAGCAAAGGAAGACAAGAAGACAGTCAAGCAAAGGCATAGCATAAGGGATATTCCCCAATTCAAGAGACAGGAGACGAACACAGTCCGCAGGACAAAAGCAGTGCTCTCTGTCCCGCCGCGGAAAAAACAGAGGGGGAAACTGGTCGAACACAACAAATCACCTGTCGTGAGTCCCTTGCGGCGGAAGAGACACGGCGGTAGCGAGAGGCAGCCCCCAAGAGTGTCAGAGAAGAAAAGACGAGAAAAAAAAACACAAGTGCAACAACAAAGGACAAAGAAGAGAATAATATACAGAAAAGACAGGACTCCTGAAGCAATCGACCTTAGAGGGTCATACGATTTACGAACCACCGCTTAGGAGGAAGGCGAAGAAGAAGACTCCAGCGAAGAAATGTCAGAAGAAGTAGAACATGAGAGAATGCAAGAACGAGGAGAAGGTGACGACAGTGACGCTGACCATGATGTCGATGCAGAGGAGAGCAATTCGGAGGGAGATAGAACCGGCGACAACACGGACAGATCCGAGGAGGGGGAAGAGGAAGAGGAAGGCAACAGTGAAGACGAAGAAAGAGAGATTACATCTGCTGAAAACAGTACAAAATGCGGAACTGATAAAAAAAAGGCAGGCGCACTAGAGACTTCATCGAATGACAAACAAATTGTGCAGAGGGAAGGGCGTCTTATAAAGACACAACTATGTGTGCACAACACAGTCGTTTTTCATGCTGCAGAAACGACCAGGTTCACTGAGCGAGGGGGGGGGGGGGGGGGGGGGGGGGGGGGGGAGAAGGGGAGGGGCCGAGGCGAGGGGGTTACGAAGTGTGTTCGGGGGTGGATCGAGGAGGGGGAGTGGTGGTCTTATGTTTATTTCTGATTGCAATACATAAAACATATATCGCGGAGGGTCTTCTTATTACTAAATCATTAATCTGTTGGTCTTCTTTTATTTTTTTCCCATATTGCACTAATTTGCAAAGGCGAAGCAGCACAGGTGGAGGTAATGCTGGCGAACCAACAGAGCAACAAACCGGGGGTTTTACAAAGGAAATGAAAGACAGACTGTTTCGTTCAGTGACGAAGGTCTTTGCTTTTTCTGCAGCAAAGGATGCGATGTTGTACCCATCGGAGGATTTGTTTTTCACGACACTGCAAACAACTGCCAAATTGATAGGAGAACATGCGGAGGAAGGACTACGGCTGCACGTGGCAGCGAACGGAATCCGAGCTGTGATCGGGGAATGTAATCGGATTATGACAACGGTCCGAGGCGAGATATCATGGCAATTGAAGCATTGGTTTTGGGCCGAAAAAGGTCTGCCGCTGGTCCGGTCAGCTCAAACGGATCACCAACTTCCGATTCTCAACAGGATGCGGGCAGAGATGAAGGGGAACACAACATGGAGAAGGAGCGGCAATGATCCGTGGGGCACTCCTCCTTTCAAGACAGCACTGACAAAAGTTTTTCAAATGAGAAGAGATGACATCAACCTTGGCGTAACGTTGCAACAACTAGCATTTGCGGACGTGGTACTGAAAAGTGAAGTCGAGCAGACGGCAAAGACCAGTAAACCAGCGGACCAAATACAGAAACTTGTAGCTATCAAGAAAGAGATCGCTGCATCGGTCCGCTCCCGAGACACGGTCTTAAGCTATTCTATCTTCAAGTTCGACCGTGCTGTTTCTGTTGCAGACAAGGCCGTCGCATTGTACAGAGTTGGGTTGCCTGCTGTGCAGAGGGCAGACGCCAATAACATGACTACAACAGATGATGATTTTGACCTTGAGTTCATTGCGCACACCGTGGAGAAATGTGCGGGCAGAGACAGAGACGAAGAAAGTTTGTGCGCAAGGCCGTGAAAAGGAGAAGAAGGTATCCGGAAGTGGATCGCGGGGGGTTGGGGGTGAAACAAGGCCAGGGTGTGTTATTTAGTAAATGGTTTTGTACAAGACCTGTCGTATATGTGTTTCGACTATCAAGTAGCATTTGCGTTTCACATCTCACATTACTCACTATCTTGCTTGTCTTGCAAGGATACGCAGTGCGTCATGTATAATGTAGGTCAAAATATGTCAACGTATGATTTTGCAAGAACAGGAATCGTTTGGGCCGTTTGCAGAAAACGCATTACGCACTTCCAAAAATGTTGAATATGATGTCACAAAGCAGTATTGGGAAGACACTAGAAAACATGTTCATCTTAATGCTGGGCGAGAAGTACATGACTGGTTGACTACTGCGTGTCATGTTCTTGTCGTGCATGGAAATGATGCTGGAAATTGGCACCCGGTAGCCAACCCGCGTGTCAATTTCGTTCACATCCATCGGACATTTGCCTATGGCGCTGCATTCAAGGTTCACAGGAGCTACACAGACCCCCGAAGGTGATAAATAGCAACAGGGGCAGTTTTCTGACATCATCAGTTTGGGAGGGAGGATGACTTCTCTCTCTCTCTCTATATATATATATATATATATATATATATATATCCCTCCCCCCCCCCTCCAAAAAAAAAAGAAGAAGCCCCCCCGAAGATGATAAATAGCAACAGGGCCACTTTTCTGACAAATTTCAAATATTCCCAACAATATCTTAAATGTTCAACAGTTGATCATCACATTTTCAACAACATTTCAACAACTTGTAAACAACTTTTCAACAACTTTTCAACAGTTTTTCAACAATTGAACAAGTATTGAACATAGTGTCGCATGTTTATGACATATGTTATCAACGTTGAGTTCCTTCACTTTTGGTGGAACACATGACACTACCCCCGCCAAACTGTTTATTAACACGAAACCAACAGTTTAAAAGGGGTGCCCACATTTGATAAACCGCCAAAAAAAATGCCCACAATTTTTCTTTTGTCCCTATACACCCTTTCCCCCCCCTCCTGCCCCTCACCTAATTCCCAGTGGATGCGTCTGCCCTATCAAAATCTTTCCTCCCGCTAACCCATCCAACATCCCTCATACGTCTCTCCCTCTATACGAGCCTCAACTTCACTCCTTCCCACACCTCACCCACACTCCTCAGTTCGCTCCCCCCCTAAGAAGCGGTTTCAGTCCCTCCGTCTTTTTCTTCTCGTCAGGGTTCTTCCAATAGCTAGTCAGCGTACGCAAGATGCTTAAGATGACGTCAAAGAGGGCTGAAGTTCAAGATTCTCTCTTGTTTTATCTGGGGGCTATGCCACACAATTTGTTCAGGCAGTTGGGGACGATTCCATATGCCAGACCCAGTTCACCCTACCCGATGCAGCAAAGGACAACGCCAATCAATAATCAAAATGGCAACATTTGGAAATCGAAAAATGTTGCAAAATGGCTATCCCAGGCATCTTCACCAAATTCGATGCACTTGTCCTATTCTCAGGGTGGACATCAATCCCAGTTTCCACCCCTCACTGGTCAGGGAATCCAATAGCAACAATCCTAGAGCGAGAAAGGCGAGTCCTCTTCCTCACAACAGGGAGAACAACGATCTTCTCACTCTCCCCATTCAGATGATAACAACTCACAGTCTCACTTACCACAAAAGACCACTAAAAAACGGTCCTCAGGAAAATCAACAGGGAAGGAAACACCCATAAATGACAGGATAATGCAAGATCAGGAAGAGATCCTTACGGAGGAAGAAAGATGGCTGGAACAGAACAGGAGGGACCAAGGGGCGCACCCGGACAAACGGAGAAATCTAATAAACTGCCAGGGGAAACATGGACACAAAGGGTAAGGACGACATTCCAAGATAAGACGCTAAATGTGAGCAGGCCAGTTGTAGATCCACCAGGAGCTCCAGCAGAGGAACTAAAGATCCCCCTTAGAAATTCCTCCTTAGCAAGGGCCTACTTTCTAACTATTTTCCTTCTACCTTCAGAACAGAAAGTGATAGAACAGGGAGAAAGGAAAACTCTAATGAAATCCTACCCTGCAGAGATATTACCTAAGAGAGATGCGATCTACACGAAACACGCGAGCAATTGGATTTTTTACAATGAGGGAGCAAACAGATCCATGAATGAAAAAATAAAATGGATTTGTAAAAGACTGGAGCAAATGAAGGGAAGCACTGAAGTTGTTTCATATTTTTTTCTAATCCAGCCTATTTCCCCGAGAATTTTCACAGTTCTTTGTCTTTTCGAGAATGACAAAAAAATGATTGATAGCTGGGAAAAATTATTTTGGGGTACCTCACAAATAAGAATTTATCCATGGATGCCAACGAAAATTAGTCCGGAAGAAAAAAAGGACCAGTTAATGAGGGACTTCTATTGGGTTGAGTTGAGGCATATCCCAATAGAAGTTCAAGCATTTTTTGTGCATGACTTCGGGCAGCAGTTCAAAATAGTTGATTTTATAGATCCGCTCCCAGCACATGTGGCAAAGAGAGACGATTCTCTGATGCTTGCTCTTGATCTGCAAAAGGAACAATCATTCTCATTGGATGATATAATCCCATATAAGATGGGAGGGAGGATCTACCAAATCCATACGGCACACAAATTCAGACCCTGATGCTTTAAATGTAAAGCATACGGACATTTAAGCACATAATTCGCCTGTCCTCTGCACCCCTATATGCTATGATAACGGAACAAAGGTTAAATAAGGATCCAGTGTGCCCACATCGATGGACACTAGGGGTACCGGGTCATGAGGGGTGGGTATATAGTGACGAGTCAAACTCCTTGGGAATGCCGATAGGTTGGTACTGGGAAGGAAGAAGTGATCGTCACAAAACTCCCCGACCTCCTGCAGACTGGCTGCCACCGCACCACATACAACACCAACCTCAACACCAGTCTCATCAACCAGCTCACGGTAATCAAAGTAAGCAAGGGAATCAGGGCAACCAGGGACAACAAAACTTCCAACAGGGCAGGCAGGATCATGCGAACCACCTGAATTAGCAAAGCCAGCTAAACCCGCCAAACCAACCATCTCAGGGTAACCAGCACACACAGCAAAAGGAACATTCTCAATCAAAACAGAACAGACTGACACAAATGGAGGAAGGAAGTAATACAAAGACTTTCGCGGGACACAGCAGGTCTATGGGCCCGTCTTGGGATGCATATTTACAAAAGAGAGTGCAATGGGTAACCTGGAATGAAAGGAGGTAAGAAAAAAAAAAAACAAAAAAAAACAGAACAAAGTAACAAGGATCAACCCCCTGCCCAGCCAGAAGAGCAACAATCACAACAACAACAACAACAACAACAACAACGACAACGAATCCATCAAACATAGTCAACACAGCGGACACAACAATTGACACAGGGGGGTACAGTCCAACAGATGGACCAATTTCTCCAACAGGGAAAGCAAATCCCATATTTATTGGTCACATCTCATTTTCCAAACGAAGCCAACATCTCTGGCGAGCCATTGGGACAGAGGGAGAATAGAGAAGACATGAAAATAGATCAGTTGAAGAATGTGTTTTCACCTGATTTGATGGAAGTGGAAAACGCCCCGGTAGCGCCCTCACCTTTCGTTGTAATGGGACCTAGAAGGGAGAGAGTGGATCCATTGACAGAGCTGCAGGCCAGCCTGCACCGGATGGTGATGTGACTCATAGCTAATTTGAAATTTAAATTGTCAGCAAAGTCGAGTCTGGACTGGTCGCAGATTCAAGTTCATATTTCCTCTCTCCTGATGAGTAGCGATAGTCTGAAAACGACACTACAATTCGGTCTCCCTTCAGACTCCGCTTGGTCTGAGATGCGCGACAAGCTTCTCCACGCGATTTCAGAGAAGTTGTCACTTGTATGGCTCTCTCTACAAGCAAGAGACTTGAATCAGGTTCAAGCCAGTTGTAGGTACAAACATGATCAGGACTCCAAAATGGACACTAAGATTATCAAAGGGGTCAGGCGTATTAAAGAATTGGCGAGGAGAAAGGACAATTATACAAATGAAGGCCGTGGTCCAGAAGCAAGATATAGAATCACGACGTACCGAGGCTAAAGAGAACGGGATAATAGAAAAGTGTGTTGAAAAAGTTAGAAATCACTAAAAAAAAAAAAAAAAAAAAAAAAAAAAAAAAGGAAAGAAAAAGAAACAAAAAGAAAACAGAAACAATCGAGGACACTTCTGATTTATAACACAGCACACAAGAATCAATCGCACTGGATCAACAGTCCAATCCGCCCTATCAAGACCTACAAACGATGGGGCTACAACATAAGGATCTGCTAGAGGATCACAAGAAAATAGAGCTTCACGTGGAAAATGGATTAAATCAAATCAAGGCCTCAGATCTGCAGATGGTTATCACGACGACCCAAATGATGGTACCATATTCAGATGAGATAGACCAAAGCTGTCATGATTTTCTACCATAGATCCCCGTCCCCCTGGACAGGAGAGTTTCCATCTGCTTGCAAGACCACTGTCTGTCCTTGGACAGGAGAGCTTCCATCTGTTCGCTCGATCACTGTCTGCAAAACGAACTCCCTGCAGTTGGAAGGATTCTGAGTACAAACGGTCAGAGCCCGCCCCGTCCAGAAGCAAAATTGGTAGAAATTTTCTCCCAAATCACGGGGGGGGAAAAAATTCTCCAAACAGGAATAACTCAAGTAGACCAAAAGAGTAAAAAGTCCTCTTTCTTAGAAGAGGACGATCTCATCTCTTCTTACCCTACGCAGAGGACAGGGAAAGAGGGCAAGGTAGAAGTAGCTATAGCAGACATGGAGACCTTCAACTCCACGAGGACAGGCGACGACGCAATAGACCTCACCCAAGATTATCACACTGAAAGCGCAGTGACCATAGAAAAACAGGAGATAAAAGGGAAGCGAACATCACAGTCCCCCCAATCCCTCCAACTAGTTAGTACTCCAATATTGTTTGATCCCAAATGTAAAAGACAAAAGCTCAAAGTACGCTTCTCCCGGTCAGCTGAACGGTCCCCCTTGTCTAAATCAGCAATGGTCTTCCTCTCG